TATAAGGATCTTTTGAGAGTCAGACACAGTCGTGCACACCTGGAGTTCCAGCTACTTGAGTCACAGAAGTAGGAGGATCATCATCTGAGGCCAGTTCAGATGAAGAACCTCATCTGAAAAAAAAAAAAAAAAAGCATAAGGATGGGGATATGGCTTAAATCAGAGAGTACTTGTCTAGCAAAGTTGTAAATTGAGTCTTTAGTACAGGAAGAGGAAGAGGAAGAGAAGAAAAGAAAGGAGAGGAGAGGGAGAGGAAGAAGATATTCACATTAGCTCTGTTTGCCATGTGCCATTTCAAATGCTCACAAGGATCAGGGGTTAAGATGCAGCCATTGTCTGTCTGTCACAGACAGACTCATGGCTAATAGCTAATAGCCCCCAAGACTTGGGCCTGAGACCCGTCTTGTTCTGCCCAGCCACAGCCTCATCTCCAGGTGGAAATGGCTGCCTACAAAAAGGCCGCTGTTGTCTGCCCACACAGCTGGAGGAATGAAAAGATCCCAAAGGGCACAGTCGCGTCATCCAGCTCCGCGATGAGTCACCGTGGAAATGGGGCCATGCATTTAGCTCGGCCTTAGTTGCTTTCTTCAAAGAGGATTAAACCCTTTCTTCCAGAGGTGTTTGGGGATTTCACATGGATAGAAAATGCCATGGTCTTTGTCCTAGGAAAGAACTGTAACGAAACAAGGCAATCATGTAATTACCTTTATTTAGTCACTCTTGACTATAACCCCACACCAGTCCTATTTTTCCCCAAGTATTCACCGGCAATAGATTTCTCTACATCACCTGGCTTATTGAGTCACCATGGGCACTCTGGGAGGAAAATGACATCCTTCCTTTATAGATGAAGGGGCTGAAGCCTGACAGGCAGGAGTCGGGTGAGAGCTGCAGATATTTGTACCAAATTAACAGCCAGTCAGTGTCAAAACCAGAATGGAAACACCCAGGCCTGCAGCCTTCCATATGGCTCGTTGGAAAAGCTTGTTCTGTAGCAACACGAGGTCCAGGCACACACAGTGGGACCTGAGTATAAAAGTCAGGAGCTGACCCATCAGAACATTCCTTCAAAGGAACACCCCACTGAGCACCATGCGGCTTTCGGAAACCTTTCTGAAACCCAGATTCTTGGATTTATACTGCCAGGTCAGCTGAGCCTCCACCTCTCTGGACAGACCTCCTGGCCTGCTTTGGTTCTAACCTGACACACAGAAGATTCATGTCAGACCTATTTCTCTTCCCCTGACTATCAGCTCTCATTATTGTCCCAAACCTCTTTCCAAGCACCCATGTGTTTCAAAGTTTCCACAGATGTGATGACGATAGATTTTTATAACCCTTCAGGTTTAATTGTGTCTGATAGGACAGTGAGCATCTATCATGTATCCCCTGCTATATATTATATATATATGATACATATAGAAATTATATAGTATATAAAAATATATAAAATATATAAAGTATACATCATCTACTATGTGCTCTCTATCAATCCCCCCTTATTCTCAGATTTATTCGTTTTTATGAATATTTTTATTTAAGTAGTTGTTCAAAGGAGTTGCCACTCACCGAAGTAGTTTATGAATATGGTGCCTCTTGATCAGTGTCACCCCTTTCAACATTCTCACCCACTCCTCCCAACCCACCCCTTCCCTCACTTTCCTTCATTTTAGGCTGTATATTGATCTTGTTGGCAATGTAACAAAGCAATCCATGTGTACAATGCATCTTGGTCTGGCTCATCTCTTCCATATCTTCACCCCCCCTTCCACCTACCCCTTCCCTTATATTTCTCAGTTCTGTGGTATATAGGAATTCTTGCCTGCATTCTTCTCCCTGCTCCTTCATTCTTCCATCCCTCTCCTTTTGGCCCCACCCTCCCCTCTTGCAGGTACCCACTTCCTGGTACTTAACTTTGTTGGGCTTTGACTTGGTCTTTTTAAAGAATTATACTATTTGCACTATCCATTGAGTCTATTATACTTCCGTTCATTACCACCCAGTGTGTTTACTTGTAGATTTATAACCACATTGACTAAGTGTAGGCAAAAGAAGTCATAAAGCTTAAAAGACCAGAAGAAGCCGGGCGTTGGTGGCTCACTCATGCCTGTAATCTTAGCTACTCAGGAGGCTGAGATCTGAGGATCACGGTTCAAAGCCAGCCCGGGCAGGAAAGTCTGTGAGACTCTTATCTCCAATAAACGACTAGAAAACTGGAAGTGGCGCTGTGGCTCAAGCGGTGGAGTGCTTGCCTTGAGCTGAAGAACACAGGGACAGTGCGCAAGCCCAGAGTTCAAGCCCCACGACTGACCAAAAAAAAAAAAAATACCAGAAGAAAGTCAAAAACAGAACTTACCATTCCTGTGCATTCCTTATGCAGCTTAGCTGATGTAGACATACGTTGTCATAAGTGTGTTTAAATTGTTGTGTGATCTGCTGGGTTCTTTCCTGCCTTTAATTTTGTGAAAATCTGCCTCATCAAAAGCAAATAATACCTCCTCCCTGCAAGCAAGGTTAAAATGAATATGCTTAATGGAGGTGAAAAAGTAAAACTTGGAGATTTGTTGAAAGGCAACATGTTTTAGTGGAAGTCAGGCCATCTTATGGGGATAAAGGGATCAAGATGCATGGTACTCATGAACTCATATGGTGAATTGAAGCTCCTTTGCACAGCTATTTAAAGAAAATGTTCTAAAACAATAAAAAGAAAATGAATCAAGCATCCACAGTACCGTACTGAACCCTGTGCACTCCGAGCATGCGCAATTGTCCTGTGTCTATCTCCTTGGAACTGTATAGGTACCACCACCAAGAGTCTACTGTAATTCTTTTCCTTTTGTGAGACATGGGGCTAGAAAGCAGAGGAAAGATGCACAAGGATGTAAGAGGACCCCAAATCTGTATGAATTGCCTGTCCATGCACAGAACTGCATCAGTCCTGTTCCTGGTACCAGGTGAAAGGCCTCTAGCATGGGTCATGCTGTGGCCTGAAGGCCCCAAGTGTGGTCCATGCCTTGAGTAAAAACAGCATGCTAGAGTACAGACTGCACAGATTAGGACAGGGACAGCATTAGGACAGGAACTGACCACAACAGCAGAGGTAAAGTTGCACTGATGCATTGACTTTCCTCTCTGTAGAAGCCAATATAGTTTTTGGTGGTTGTTATTGTTTTATTTTGGTTTGGGGTGTGTGTGTGTGTGTGTGTGTGTGTGTGTGTGTGTGTGGTACTAGGGGTTGAACTCAAGGCCCTGTGCTTTCTAGGCAGGCACTCTATCATTGAGCAACAACCCCCAAGTCTTTTGGCTTTAGTTTGTTTTTCAGATAAGGTATTGCCTTTTACCCAGCCTAGCTTTGGACCTTGATCCTCCAGAAGAGTCCATTACCTAGTCTCTGGCATCTATGACCCTTTATAAAGCTTGGAGGAAGGGAACTTCTGTAGGTCTAAGGATGCGCTTTGTGAGCAGCAGGTCCTTCAGGGGGAAAGTGGAGTCTGTCCTGTGGCTGCAGGGAAGGCAGTGTTAGGCAGGGTAGCATTAAACTGCTTTCTCTATTACGTTAGCAGAGATTCTTGACACTCCTAATTGCTCCAGAGTTTGAAGGCCCATGTGCAGGCTCTCATGTTATCTGTCCAGCTACATGGTACCTTCTGAACACAAGAGGGTGGCCCTCCCTTTTTCCAGCAAAGCATTCCTGACCCCTGGCTGAGTGTTCATTACCTGCCCCCAGAGCTCCATCTTTTGCTAGCTGCCAAGTCTGCATTCCCATCTACAGAAAGGCAGAGAACTTCATTCCAGTCACAGCTGGTAGAAACTTCTCATTTGGCCCTACGGGGATCTTGGCAGATTCTGAAGAAGACTCACTATAGTATGACCCAACAAAATACCAGAGTCCACCATTCTCTAATCATGTCATCTGATAGACAGTTTCCCACATGCCTGGTCTTCTCCCAGTTAGTTAGCCAACATGTAAGCATCCACATGCCATAAGTGTGGCCACAAAATGACATTGTCAAGAATAGAAGGTGGGGACTGGGGTATAACTCAAGAGTAGAGTACTTGCCTCGCATGTACAAGGCCCGGAGTTTGATCCTCAGCACTGCAACAATAAACTAACTATTTGAAAGGATAGGCAAGATTCTTTGGATAGATAGTAGAACTAGAGGTACCTTGAATACGGTACAGACTCTTGTTCCATCGATACAAGGCAGGTATAACCGGCAGAATGAGATTGTGCCTTTTCTCTGGAGGGATGCAGAGAACTCAGAACTCCCCTAGGACACTGGAGAGTTAAGACTGACCTGTATTTATTCTAGGGCTGCTTTTAATTTCATTTAATCAAAATCACTCATAAAGTATAGATTAATTACTAGCTACTGCTTCGTTAACTTCTCTCTGCCATGGAGTCAGCCTTGCTCTGCAGTGAATACCATCCACTGTAATTGTAGGACACTTTGTCAACATTTAATCAACAGTACTTATTAATATGACATTGATGGGTGATAACCAACCCCATGCTATCAATCATGCATATGCAGCCAGCACCAGCTCGGACACCATTGCTCTTTGTCACATTAACCAGCCACTAGATCCCCTCCCCCTCGGGGTTTCAGGCCAAGCATAATACTCACTTTTCATGAAAGGGACACTCTGTCTCTTTACTTCAACCCAACTTTTGTCGTGGTTGACTTGCAGACTCATAGACTTGGAAACTTCTGTGTGGACCAGCTTCCTAAGCAGCACAACAGTCCTGAAGATCATTTCCGGTGCTGTGTTCACACCCTGCCCAAAAAGGGTCAGTGATTGAGTGTCATGGCTTGTGTTGTACAAGTATTATGTGTAGGGTAATTTTTAATTCTTTCATACTGCATTCAACCTGGTGAAAATAGGTGATCTCTTAACTTTCTGTGTCTTACTGAGTATTTCTGGAGACTATTGTTTAAAGCTTTACCAGTAGAAACTTGTGTTAGGAAAACAGATCTCATGTTGCCCTCTCTTTTCAGCCTCTATGGCAGACACATGCAAGCGAACCCAGAACCCCCAAAGAAGAACAATGACAAATCCAAGAAGATCAGCAGGAAACCTTTGGCAGCCAAGAACAAATGAGGAGCTGGCTTGGGCCTGGTTCACTCTTGGGTCCTTTTTTTGTTTGTTTGTTTCTCTGTCTCACAAATAAATACAATGTGTATAGTTTTATGTTTTTTTCTTTACCTTTTCTTCTCTCTCTCTCACACACACATGTTTACCACCTTGCCTTTGAAATTCTTTTGGTAGGTGGTAGATTTTTTTACACTGTCTTAAAACCACTTCCATTTGTTTCCAGAAAATTGCCAAAGGCAAGAAACAAAGCTCTAATTCAACTGCAAATTCCATAGTGGGCCCAGGTTTCAGTCCCTTCAATACACATCACAAGTCTGCTTATTATCAAAAGAATAATTAAAATCATGTAATCGCTGAAATGTCACAGTTAATACTTTTCATTTTTTTCCTGTTTATTCACATAACTCATTATTTTGCCTTATTAACAAGTCTTCCTCCACCACTAAGCTATTAAGTTCATTTAACTTACAAATGATTTTAATAAAGTCTTCAGTTTGTAGCACATGTTGCTTCTTGATTAGAATAAAGAAAAACTTAACAAAGCAAGGGATAACATTGACCAAGAAACATTGTACTCATAACCTGACTTATGGAATTATAACACCTTTGTATAATTACTTAATAACAATAAAAGAATAATGTGATCATGGGGTATACACGTTTGTTTACTTGTTCACCCCTCCCCAAAAATGTAATATTATCCAATTTTATTGGTCAGTGATAAACTCTGAAAGTTTCTGTGAAAAAAAAAAAGTGAAATTAAATCAGTTTCTTCTCACATCAGTTTGTCAGCTTTTTCTTTTCTTTTTTTATTTTTTAAGACTGTTTCTAAAATAAGAAGGAACAGAAAAACAAATCTCTTGGAGATTCTGCCAAAGGATTTTGGAAGGCAGCAATCCTTCGCTGAAGGGATGGTGACTCCTGCCAGTGGCGTGTAGACAGGAGCTAGGAAACGAGAGACAGAGAGAGGGAAAAAAAACCTTCAAGTATGTTTTTTGTCACTGCAGAAAATCTGCTTCTATCAAAGCCTTCTTCCAAGGGATTTTGATGCCAAAGAAGTTGTATAAATGTTGCACAAAATCTACACCACACCCAGTGTGGAAGCTTCCTCTTCAGAGTCATTAAACAACCAGTTGTTGTTTCACATCTGTGCCAGGCAACCCTATATGTATATATGGAAGTATATATATATATATGTATATATGTATGTATATATATATATATGTATATATGGAACCCTATATGTATATATGTATATATATACATATATATATATGTATATATATATATATATATATATATATATATATGTGCTCAGAGATACCAACACCTGGATATCTCACAACAAAAGATGTGTGAAGAAAAGTACTCTCAGTGGATGGTAGAAGAGAGATCCACCTCTCTCCTCTGCATTAGCTTTTGTTATTTTTCCCCCAGACCAAGACTCATCAGGACATATTAAAAGCCAGAATCAGAACTCAAGAAAAAAAAAGCCCTAGATTCATTAGAATATAAACTTTCCATTCCAACAGACACTTGAGTTTTGGCTTCTTGTTTCTGGACAACTTCCTGCCAGTATATTACCCATGGGAAGATGAATCGCCAGGTGCCATGCAGCCACATGGATCTACAGATGATAGAATTTTTACAGGTGCCTGAATGTTTTTAAATGAGTTTTAGAGTTGATGGAAATTACAGGAGGAAGAGCAATGCCCACTGTTGTTGATTGAGAAGATAACTCAAAGTTAATACTTACAACAAAATATTAGTAAGAACATAATATTAAAGAAGACTTATAAGTCATTTTTTTTCAAAAGATTAACTCTCTGGATGGAAATATGGGCAATACACATATATAAACTCACAGGGAGGAAATACCTTTAAAAAGCAATGGGATAGGAGGGGAGAAATCTCACTAGTAATGAAAAAAACTACAAATCAACATAAAAATAAGCAATGTATAACCATGAGAAACGTGAAAATATTTTTTAAAGCAATATTCAGTGCTGGAAGGGTAGTAAGAGATAAACATTCTCGTACATTGCTATGTGACATACAACTTTTTTCTCTGGCAAGGTGATAGCATTTTAGAAGTATGTTGCAAAACTTTAAATCATGTACTTGGACCCAGAAATTTTATGTGTAAGAAACTGTCCCATCGATCAAGACACATTGTATTCATAGACAGACATGTTGAATTGAACCCCTTAGAACCACTACATATATATAGATATACAAATATATATATGCACACACATACACACACACATATATGTGATTTTGAAAAGAAATATCCTGAGAAAACTTTCAGAGATGCACACATGAGCTATGTGCATGAATTATTGCAACTTTGCATACAATGTGAATATGGAGAAATGCCACATGTCCACCAATAGAAGAATGGTCCAGTGAGTTGTGGCCTATCTGTATTGCAGACTTTCATGACATCACTAAAAGTTGTTGAACATGCCAGCACTGGTAGATCCTGCCTATAATCCTATCTACTCAGGAGACTGAGATCTAAGGATAGTGGTGCAAAGCCAACCTCGGCAGGAAAGTCCATGAGACTCTTTTCTACAATAAACTGCTAGAAAAAGAAGTGGTACTGTGGATCAAGTAGTAGAGCACTGGCCTTGAGTACAAAGAGGCTCAGGAACAGTACCCAGACCTTGAATAATTCATAATAATATATAATGTATAATAATAATGTTCAAGCCCCAGGACTGGCAAAATAAGATTGTTGAAGATCTACCCATGAAACAAGATAATTGTATCACTTGGAAAGAGTGAAAGACTTTTTTTAAACTAAGGATAGTCTCAGTTGTGTAAGAAGGAAATTATGTTTGTAATATATGCACATAAAGATATGGAAAAACCTAGAAAAATTATCTTAGCATAGTGACTAATTTTTTTTAATTTTCTCTTTTATACTTATATTCTGTGCTTTGAAGTTTCTGTAATGAGCATGTAATCTTTTGTAATCAGAAACATTAAATTCATTTTTTTTCAAAATGTAATTTGAGTATTATGGTGTAATTTTGTAATCCAGAAAATAAGATCACATATGTAAATTCAAAGCATAATACTTTGTTACTGTAATAGTTTTTCTATGTCTTTTATACACTATTTTGTCCAACTTGATATATGAATTGACCAAAAAGTTCAGTTCATAACATAGAATTTTACTTTATTTTTCTTGGAATTTACATGTTAGTGGAGGAAGATTAAATAAAACACAGAATTGCAGAACATATACTTTATATAAAAACAAAGACAAAAAGATGAAAATTGCAGCACTAGGTAGGAGGGACTGAGCTGCAATCACAAACTAGATAATAAAAGTTCCACTGAAAGTGACATTGGAAAAGAGACCTCTAAGAGGGGAAGAAATGAACTTTGCCAATGTCTTTAGAAAAGAGTGCTGTCAACTCAGAGTACAGGAAATTCAGTGACCTTGAAGCATGATGAAAGGTAGTTAATCTGATCCTTTTAACAAAATCTTTTCTGCCTTCTGTGCTACCTTGCTGTCACTCAAGGTATCTTAACTTCCCATCACTTAAACGAAATACCTATGATGATCAGCTGATAAATAGGAAAGGGTTATTTTGACTCACAGTTTTGGAGATTTTGGCTCAGGATTAGTTCTTTTGCTTTTGAAGGGGCTGGTGCTGCTCAGTACATCATGGTTAGGACTGCATGTCAAAGATCTGTTCACCTCATGGTGGCCAGGAAGCAGAGACAGGAAGGGGTGGGCTCCTGATAATGCATACCTCCAGTGATCTGATTTCTTCCACTCGAATCCATCTGTTTGTTTCCTTTTTTTTCTTCCAAACACTACAATTGAAGACCAAGCCTTTGGAAGACATTTAAGATCAGTGAATAGCAGTAGTTTCTACTGCAGTCCTGAGTCTCTGTGTTCCAGAAGGGAGAGTTTGTTTGTTTTTTTTTTTTTTACATTCCTTGATCGGAGTATCTTCCAGAGTTCCAGAGGTTCTCTTTTTTATGTGAAACACTGACCTTGCCCACCTAGCTGGGTATCTTAGAAATAATGTATATTATTAATTCATATAAATACATGGTGATATTGCCTCTTACGCTTTTTTTCATGTAGTAAAATTTGGTAACAATATTGCCCAATTTACCTTTTTATCTCTTTTCTGTTTATAGTATCACTGTTTATTGAAGGTCTTCCATGTATATAATTGGCATTCTTTGATTTTCACCCAATGATTATCTCGTGTAGGAATTTGACCTCAGAAAGACTAAGGAACTTCCTCAAAGGAAAAGACACGCCTAGTTTACCCCAAAGGCAGCAGTTCTCATTCCCATCTTCTCTTCAGTTGAAATTTCTGCTCCTTAAGTGATCACTGTAATGATACATGCAAGTTAGTACATGTTGGCATCCAGGTTACTGAAGTTTTTCTCCCTATCTATAAGTGTGGGTCCTTTGATTTCTAGTGTTTGCGTTTCTCACGTTTAGCCAAATGACCACTACATGTCTCTATTAGTGACATGGTGTATTGACCAAAACAGGTGAGTCTCACTCCTGAAAATAACGTTGGCTTGTCCCATCTCATCTAGAAACACATTTCCAGTATTATCCCAAAGAAGAACTATTCTGTCCCAAAAAGGATTTCCCCCCATGGCTGACCCAAAGACTAATGCCTTATACGTTGGGGCAAAGTTGCTTTGGGTTCCATTTTCTAGTAGCGTGGATTTGGCATAATCAGATAACCTGGTGCCACCTTCTACATCCTTGTTAGTACCTAAAGCATATTAGACACTCAAATATGGCATGAGTGGACAGATATTGTTCCATTGGATGTTTCCAATGCTTTATTTCCACTTGCCGCTGCTTCTCTCAAGAGTTTACTGTCATTTCAGCCATGTTTTCTCATAAGATGTTTACAGGCCTTCAGAAAAGTCAGTAATGCACCTCACAGGGTTGCAGACCCAGGAATCAGGATCAGGTAAGAATGAAGTATCTTTAGGAAAGACTTCACATTAAAGTTTGTCATGATCACTCACCTAGGGGTGGTGTCAGTTTCTCATATGAGAACCAAGCAAGGTGTAGAAGTGAGTTCAACCACTAAGCATCCACCCCAGACATACCTGAGAACATCCCAGTTTATAGGCTTTTAAGATTAAGTTGTCTATGGAGACACCATCTTCCCACTGTTTAAACTGACATATTATGAATATAAGTATTGTTAGACAAGCCAATTCATTTATGCCCCAAGAGGAAAACACTACCAAGCACTACAGCTGAAGGAACTAATTCTTTCTAGTACTACCCCAAATACACCTGCCACATAAGCAACAGTCCCATTGCCGTGTGCACTGCTTGCTTTATTTTGATTTGAACAAAGAGCTGCTTTGTTGTGTGTGTGCAGTGCAGAAGCAAGCCCAACATTTTCACTAAGGAAGGCTCTGTCTTTCTTAGATTACATATTGCCTGTCCTTCCTGTAGCTCTAGTGAGAGACAGGGCTTTGATATGTTATTG